TTTTAGGTTTGTGTAATATAGAACCATCTAAGCACAGTAACAGATTTCTGTTCTTCTCCACTCCACTGCTAAGATCATTTGTGTTGACACACAATCCTCAATGATCCATAACTGTTCCTGGTTCCTCCAGGGAATGTCAAGTTGGGCTCAAATCTAGTGCCTTATCAAACCCTCCAGGATGCAAACAGCAGGATATTAGAAACTGCAGCATTACCAAAAAACCCTTTCATATATGGACAAAGACTTGTTGGACACTGGAGCCATTATGTGTCTGCTGCAACAATACCATAGACTATAAATGGTCCTTTGTGGCCTATTCTTTTCCTCTTCCTTTGTTGTATGTACCTTGTGGTGAGTGCAGTATCACAGGTCTTAGCTACTGGGGCCAGCAGCATTTCTGCAGCAGGCCAGAAATTCACCATGTAAAATGACAACTGTAGAAAATAATGGAGCTACCATCGCCAAATGAACCTACCAAGATGCAGTGTTGATGTCTTTCTGGGGAAGAGGCAAGACAGAGCAAAAGACCTGACCTGGGAAAGGAGCCCGCAGACACACACACACACTCATGCACAGGCACATATTATCCAGAGTCATACATTATTTTTATTCTTTTGGCAAACACGAACAATTGGACAAAGCATTAATGTAAGCAATCTTCACAATAGCACTTGCTGGCTAAAGCCAGTGTCTGGGAGCTGAGCATAATCTAATTTGGATGGGCAAACCCTTGTATGCCAAGGATTTACATTGCAGCCAAAACGCCTTGGTTTGCAATTTCCAAGACAGCAGTCGAAAAGGAGCAGAAAATTGCTTCCAGGGCTGCAGACCAGACAAGATTATATTCAAAGTCTTTGTGAGGGCTTTGCCTGAATAGAGCCCTGGCATCACATACACACACACCGACACACACATGCATGCGCATGTATGCATGCACACACTTACACACACACATACACAGGAGGGAACAGTATAACCACTATAACCAATAGGTTAGGAGTCTGGATTTTGTGGAGCACCAGTATAAGCTCCATTTGAATATTTACAGGATGAACTTTGGGACACAGGAAATGGACAATTGTAGTCATCAATACTGAGGAGAGGAGGTGTTGCGGGGCAGAGAAGGGCAGTTCAATAGGTTAATACACTGGCCTTTCACCTTTTGATTCCAGTTAGGGACATGTCAGCAGAGGAATATATTTTATCTCAAACAATCTCTAGGGCATCACATATGCAGCGTATGTCAGAACTTAAGTGAGAGAAATTGATGCATGAGGGTAGACATCTGTCATACTTGACTATACAGTTAAATAACAAGGCTTGGCCAATGGCCCGGGGCCAATAAACTTCGAAAATGTGATAAGACTTTTATCTCTTCTTCTCTCCATGGCCTATAGTGTGTTTCTTCTATCCGGTCACATTGGACCTCAGTCAGGGATTTGCTAATATGCGTTTGTAAGACAGATGAAGGCTGAAAGTCTGAAATATTAAGTGAAAATACTTTTTTTTTTTGTCAGAGAGGCAACAGTTTGCCGAGGCTGGAAATTGAATTTGCGCTTTACAATTTGACTGCAATGTCTGAGTAAGAGGAAATGTGCTCCCTCATTTACAGGCAATTTACAATTTACAGTTTACAGACAATTATACTATTCATGTCTGCAACAAGGCCTAGCAGCACCTGTTATGTGTTCTGGCAGGGCAAATATTTGGCTACACCTGACCGATTCTGTATTGACGAGATAGATGACGCAATAGTTTTGAGTTTTGGGGATTTCAATTCTGACTGCTTGACTGCTACATTTTGCTGCTTGCTTTTTCCATTTTACAGCTGGCCATGGTAAAACTTGTATAATTTAGATATGAGAGAAGACATCTTCTCTGAACACATTAGGGATAACAAGGGCCATGGTTAGTTTTACAATTTATTTTGTTAATTTTCAAAAATGTGCTTGCTCTTTAATTGTCTCTGAAAATAATTATTTTCTTCTGCTGAGCCTGATCTACTGGCCATATATTCAAGTCGGCCATATAAATGTTGATGACAAGATGGGACATGGCTGAGACATGGCTGAATGTCTGCATGCACCATCTGAGTGAAAACATACAGAAACAGATACTTGATATTTATTCACCCGTGACCCTGAAAAACAGCATGTCCAGATATAGCTCCAGTGCATAATAGAGAGAAACAATTCAAATGGTCACAAATGGATTCAGATGTGCTGTATTTGACTGTAGGCATACTGGCACATTCTAGGTAAAAGCTTCCTCTGGGTGAAGAGGAGATGGTAAATAATGGAACAAAGTAATTGCCCTCTGTAGACAATAATACCTTTAGATAAATATTTCAAAAAGCTAAATTGCAGAAGGGTTGTAAAAGGTTTTATTGTACTGATGGGATATAGTAAAAACGCACAAATAAAAAGACAAGCAAGAAAATCTGCTCCTGTATAGCATGAATATTTTACATGTCCTCAGGTTAAAGGCTTGTATATTGTAGAATAGAGACTCTGGTCTACACCATGTTCTCCTAGGTCAATGGCGAGAGAGAGAGAGAGAGAGAGAGAGAGAAAGAGAGAGAGAGAGTCATAGTGGTAAAGGTTAGGGAGGAATGCATTGTACTGTTCAGACACACTTTGTATGAAAAGATGAATTGATCCATCTGTAAGCAGCACTTAGACCCACTCCTCTGCCTGGTCATTACAGTGGGATAAATCAATATTTAATATCCCCTCTAACAGCCACACTGGATGATCTTAACCTCTCCTTAATCCCATTTATGTTACCTTTCCAGAATCTTCTTCATGTAAGCTCTCACTATGATAAACTTCCAAACAAGAGATTGGGAGGGGAGCTATTAAAGACCACACCATATTTATGTCAGGTGAGGCGCTTTCATGAAATATTAATATTCTGAAACTGACCAAAGTGAAAGCTTTTATCTGGGGCGTTCAAACCTTTCTAGTTCGTTGGCTTGTATCAGCAAAAGTCTCCCTCTCCTTCTCTCTCATTTCACCGCTGAATTACAGCCTACTGTTCTTTATTGCAGCCGAAGGATGAAGATGATGGGGCAATTCTTTTAGCTGACTTGATAAAGCGTGCTTCTCATTTCACACCATCCTAATAGGGCCAGTGTCACTGAAACTAAGAGGTGACAATATCTCACTATGATTTGCGTGAGCCAGAGTCAAGCACAAGCTCAGTTAAGGTGTCATTCAACAAGGCAATAAATTATGTTGTAATGAAAACAGAAGCATATTACCTGAGGTGATGCTTTCAATTATTGATATTAGTAGGTCTTTTCAAGAAACACAGATACACACACAGCCATGTGTGTAGGGCTTAAATTACTTCAAATGCAACAATCACATTTTAGCATCTGAACTTTAGGTGTAATTATTATTTGAAATTAGTGTACTCATTTCTGAAATACTATTTCAATGTATGGCCCTTTTATCACTTTACATTCACTTACCCTGCACACACTCACTCACCCACTCTCTCTGTCTCTGTTTTTATCATGCATTCTTAAAAACACACTCTCTCCCCTCAGGTGGCAAACTCAGACAAAAGGTAGATTACAGGTGAGGAGTGACTGCTATTTCAAGCAAAGGATCCCTTTAGAAAAAATAACGAAGAAACAACAAAAAAGAAAAGCATTCTCCTCTAAGATGATTGCTTGAACATAGGTTGTCCAAAATTCAGGGGAAACAAAACTAAATCCGACAAAAGACTAAGCAGGGAGTGAAAAGGTGTTAAGCTCTACCTGCTAAGGACAATGTAGCTGTAGCTGTGTGCTGCCTGTATAAAATGGCTCTTTACAGGCATTGTTCAGTAACTGCTTTCATGTCATGGCACATTCGGCTGCTTGGTTGACCACAGGCGCACCTTAGTTGGGGGGTAGGGAGGCAGCTGTACCAGCTCCTCTGACAGACACTGAAAAAAAGTGTTTTCACACTCTCGCATCACATACCATGCTGTAACTAAACACAAAAGCCAAAAAACAGGTGGAAAAAGCGTACAATTGATTTCTTTGCAAGATAATGTGCCTGTTTCCTTGGTTTAAATGTAATTTTGTGACATGGTACATTTATGACTTCTGTGTATCAGTACAAAAGAAAGATCATGGATTGATGATTATTCTAAATCTCTTTTGTTTGTGTTAGTAAGGGCTGAGTGTAGGGGAGTCTCTGTCCTCTCTGTGGGCTGCACCAATTTAATTGCTTTACTTCAGTAAGAGCATAGTTGATTGCCACCTGCATAGACAGTGATCTCTTCCAAACACCAAATTAGAGGGAAATCAAAATAGATATTCATTGACTTTTTTACATATACATTGACCTAGTTGAGGCTGTTGGTTGAAAGTGTCAGGTGCTGAAATATTAATGAGCATCGCTCCTAATTCCTGCCTGCTCCTCACAGCCAACTGGCAACATGGCATCAAGCTGAAGAGAGGAGGACAGCTTTTTTCTCTCCTTGATTGACTCATCGATTGAAGATATTTTTAAAGGGAATCCCTGGGAGTGTGTGCTCCTGGTACAAAGCAGCCCCATCCCATGTCAGGGGACGGAGAGGGTTGCAAGTCTGCTTTAATTGGGCAGAGACTTCAGAGTCTTCTTAACCCACACCGGGCACCGCCATGGCCTGTCACGGCCCTCACACCAACATCAACAACACCGAGCCTTCTAAACACGCACACACAAACATATTGGTACTAATTTGAGTATACACACATACATACTGAACCATGCCAGCTCTTATCAATACGACCACCCTGGACATGGATTAAAGAAAAAATATTAGTCTTAAGAATAACTGCTATATGAAAATCACCATGTTCTACTTTCTTTAATAGTTTCTTTTCTCCACTACTTGCAGAAAGAGCTGAACACCCTTTGTGGTCAACTGCTTGTTTTTTTTTCTTTATAGAAAAAGCTTGCAATGGAGCAGACCTGAATCAGGGATAAAACTGAGACAGACTCTATGATAGTAGTCCTAACCTTGTCAACTCTGCAGTTGTTGAGGCCCACTGAAGTGAGGGCGGACAGCTTTGCCTCCATGCCCTGCTGGTGATGTTGCAGCTGTTCCCTCTGGATCTGCTCCCTCATTTTCCGAGCCTCCTGGATGGCCTTCATCACTGTGTCCTGGTCCCCGAACAACGCGGTAGAGTTTAGGCTGGACAGGATATCTATATACACACACACACACACATATTGGGGTTTGGATAGCAAAATTAGTCTTCTGGAACACACACTGGCAAAAAAGCAAAACAACGTCACATAAAATCCTAACAGTAGCATTTATTTGTAAAATATTAAGTACCAAAACAGTACCAAAACCTTGCAATGTGGTCTCCCTAGATGTGAGTGCACACTGTAAATCTGTGTGTATGTGTGGGATGTTGTTTATGAGGTGGAAACACTGAGGTCTTACCCAGAGACGAGCCACGGCCCAGGCCTCCTCCGAGTGGGCTGGGGATACCACCCTTGCTGAGGAGACTGTTAGGGCTGCTTTTACTGCCGAGGAACAGGTTTTGTGTCGGGGATGTGGGGGATTTGACCAGTTCTGTCGTCTTTGGCCGAGCAGACAGGTTGAGCGGCTGTGTTCCCTCCTCCTGTAGCAGCAGCAGAGAGGGGCGTGTAAGAGAAGACAGACACACACACACACCTCAATTTTGGGGGAAGCACAGGATTCCCAGACAGCACAGTTCTCTTCTGTTCTCGGTTAATTATAGGATCCCTGTCTTGACCCACACCTCCTCCTTGGTTCTTCCCTGTCTTTGCTTTTTTCCTCCTCTCCTCTCCTCTCCTCTCCTCTCCTCATCCATCCTTCCTTAGGAGCTGTGCCACTGTGATCTTCCTCACAGTTGCCCAGCGCCTTTGTTCACACTAATTAAAGCAGATTCTGTCTCTCTGTACATCTTCATCTGTTCTCCCTCTCCTCCTCCCTGCTCTCTGTGTCTGCACTCTGGTTCGAAGAATAAATAATGACCAGATAACGGCGGTGCCAATGATCAAAGACAGCTGTTCCATTCATCAGATGTCGACTTACATTATCTACTTCATTAACTTGTTTTCTAATTTCATTCCTCATTTGTGCATACTTGGTTTTATTATATGCTTTGATATGTCTAGACCTAAAAAATATGATATGATTTAAAAACACACTAAACAGCGTAGTTCTGACATGAGGTCAGAGGAAGATGCATGTTTGGTGCTGTATTCGCTGGGCTGGTTGCAGCCTTTACAGTAGTTACTTAGATTTCCAAGGTGCCACCCTCAGCAGCCTGTATACTGGGACCAAACATGTTTTAGCTGTGGGTATCTACCAGAGTAACCCTAATTAACCTATATAAATTATCTAATGATGCTAAAATCACTTCAAGATAAAAAAGAATAGTAAGTAAACTTTTGGCCTAATATTAAAATATTATATTTAAATAAATCAAAATATAATCTGAATTAAATAAATTTAAAGTATCACAAATCCATAATTATTTCATCACCTTAAATATAAACAAACAGTATAAATCGCCCTGTGCATACAGCAGTCTTTTAAATCAGATTAAGGCATGCTGTCGTTAACAGTCTTTTTCAAAGCCCAAGTGTCTCCTTGTCCAAACATATGGCTCAAGCATACACTGCCCCAAGGCCTTGTTATTGCTGTGCCAATAACAGTTTGTCATGCAGTGAAGCTGAAAGCAGACAAACAAAACTAAAGGCAATCTGATTCCATTGGACTGAGGATACAGATGGGAGGATGCCAGTATATGTTTGCATTTGCATTTATGTATGATTCATTTCATTTAAAGTCCTTAATTTTGTGATTTTTGGCAATATTTGTAATATTTAGACTAGAATTAGTATTAGTATTAATATTGGCCTAACTGCCATCCTTTTAATCTGATAAATAGAGAATTTAATTTATGTGATGAAATGACAGTGTTGAGTCAGTTAAATGGCAATCTTTCAGTGGAAATCCCAGGAGGCAGGAGACCTGAAGGATTGTGTGTGTGTGTGTGTGTGTGTGTGTGTGTGTGTGTGTGTGTGTATGTGTGTGTCTGTGTGTGTGTGAGAAAGAGAAGAGAAAGCCAGAGCGGCTTCCTACTATTTCAAGACATGATTTATGGTCTTTCTCCATTGTGATATTATTAAGCTAAACTACTCCAAATGGACATATGCTTCTGATTATAGCCTTAGTGAGTGGGGATGATGTATATGGCCTTTCCTCTGCATGGAGGTCTAGTGGAGTCATGCCATACAGCAGCAGAAAACACACATCCTGCATTTGGTTTGTTTACAAGGCAAAAAAAGTTGTCAATCCTGCTTTCTGCTTAAGTTTCATCAGCGTTTTTTAGCACTGTTGTAATGGTTTTATTCCATTTCAATTCCGTTACAAAAGAAGAAGAAAAAAACGTTTTATTATGAAAAAAAATTAGAAACCATGTGTTCCACAAATTACTGGCTTGGAGCAGCCATAGCCATAGCAACCATGTCCACAGAGTTCTGGTTAAGAGAGAGAAGGCCTTGTTAAAGCCCCACAGATTGATGGCCTGTTAGAGGCTGGGCTCAGCTCCGGCTGGCTGTAACACTGAAGTGGTGAACAGTGTAGATTCTATTTTATTCAGACAACACCAACTAGGCTAGGTTAGGTCAAGTACCACTCAAGGCTGGGGCTGGTGGTGGGCAGGTTGAAGGAGTTAAGGGTTGTACCTTGACTTGAGTGATGGGGCTGGAGGAACTCTTGTCATTCTTCAGAGAGGAGGGAGAGATGGGCCCACTAGTATTGAGGGGCTGGGGGAGTGGAGGCATCTTGGCTCCAGGAGAGACCTGCATGCTGGCAAGCTGGGCGGCATACAGTTGCTGTAGGGAGGAGAAGAAACCCGCAAGGCGTTAACATCCAAATCCAGCAAACATTCAAAGTTTTATATTCTGTCTTTTCCTCTCCCTAGAACTCTCTCTACTTCTGTGTCTGCCTTCATCTCCCCCTCTCTCTCTTTTACGTCTTTCCTCTCTTTCCATGAGGCTGGCAGAGAACCTCCATCAAAGGTCTTAACTGTATTTCAAAGGCTGAACCCAGAGAGAGACAGCAGTCTTAAAAACCACACAGAGATGGCTTTCATTCAAAATACTTGCGCCCCTATTTTCCACTCATCACAGAGAAAAGTTTGCCGACTGGATGCAAGTGTGTTAGCAAAGATCTCTCATTTCTCTAGATCTACACAGCTTCCTATTGAAGTTTCTGGCCTGTGATTTGTCTCCACACAGCCATGTGAGACAGTCCCATTCCACAATGTCAGAAACCCAACCTCGGTTGGATTGCCATCACAGAATATGTTAAACACAAGCATTATTAAGGCTTAGAAACCTGCACAAAGAACACTGATGTAATCACCGTTATTTTCCTTGGCGTTAAATCAGTAAGATGTCCAACCGTTGGTGACATTACCACACAAGAGGGTGGTTCAAATGACTGGCGAAGCACTCAGTTACAGTTGTGCCTTTAACAGGGTTGAACTCTGAAAGCTCAATTTACATTTCCACCACTGGGCTGATTATGTGGCCTATAGTCGAAAGGGTGGTTAAAGACGTTGATATGAGGGTTTGGAAATATCTTTTAAAAATCTGGTGAACCACAGGCTGCTAATTGTCTGTTGGATCAAATTTTGACAAACAAATTCTTCCTTTATCCTGGATAAAGTTACAGTGTAATGTCTTGACATTAAGTTGTGTGCCTATTTTTTTCATATAATTAAAACCTGAAACAAATAATACCAGACTGACTTTATTTGATTATTTTTGTGCCTGTGTTTCTGTGCCTACAGCGCCCAGTAGTCCTGCTCTGCTGGGACTTCTTTCCACCCCAGGTCTGTATTGATTGGCCACCAGGTAAGTGATGAAATTGGCTTTTGTCTCCAGCTGCAAATGGCAGGGGTCTGTCAAATAGAGCTACTGTCTGAGAAATAGTGTTACTCCATGTAGCCTTAGACTTCACTTCATCAGACAGATAGAACCCCTTAAATCCCCCACTGGCCTGCTATCCTGAAACTAGGTAAACCTCATGGTTTGTTGTGTTATTCAGTCAGATGGTGCTGTCAGGGACCATCTAATTTCTCTTTCCTCTTGCCAATCAGCAAACCCTGTCTCATTTCCTGGTTCAACTGGCCACATACAGACTGCGTTTGTGCGGTTTGGGAAAAAGCGTCCCGGCCCTGCTGGCCTCACCTTCGGCAGTGTAAATGCAGACTAAAGCCAAACAAAGCACTTTATGTCCATGCACATATCTCCAGATATAAACACACATGTGCTCCTGTAAGAAACTTTATCGCTGCCACATAAGCGGCAGTACAAAAGCTCCATTCTTCCAGGGGACCTGGGGATAACAACAGCACATGGGCAGCGGAAATGACAGACTGATTATGTTCCCACAATGATAGCACTGCCCCCACCTCCCTCACAAACAGCCTTTTGTCTCCAACAGGAATGGACACAGGAGCGGACCCAACTCTATTTTCTTCTCATCTGAACTAGACTTAGTAAATGTAAGCGGTAAAGGCACTCTGTGTTTCTGTGTGTGAGGAGGGCTAGAGAGAGAAAAACAGTGACAGAGAAAGAGAGAGAGGGTAGTCTCCATTCACTGTCTGTCACTCCAGGCTACACACAACTCTTAGTAGAGGAGTGGAAGCTGAGTCTGTTGGACAGATGTTTGCTAAAAGGCCTGTCGACGGGCATGTCCCTGACCTTGAGTTAGAAGAATTTTATTGTCCCGGAAAAACAGCACAATTAGACCTTGGTCGAAATTAGACGCAGTCAGGGTGCCCCTTTTCAGCACTGATTAGCAGGTCAGTGCCATAGGGTGAGAAGCAATGGTTACCCTTGTAACCAGGAACACCCTGCCTCCAAGAGCCAAAGAACAATAAACACAATCAGGGGAAAAGACAGACAAAAGGTGTGTTAACACACCATACACTGCTCAGAGACAGATATGAACTATCTTAGTGTTCAATGTGTGTAGTCCTGGAGGCTTTTCCCTTAGTATCATGGTATGTAATGACATACATTTACAATGGATGACAAAATATTTTGTTGACACCCAGCACATACCTAGGTTAGAAGCAAAACCTTGTGAAACAGTACAGGAAACTGTCAATATATAATGAGCACTGTGGTGTCAAAGGCTGAGGGATGATGCCTCCTGCCCAGGCTGCTCTCCCTAAGTAGAGGACATCTGCCTGCTTCCCCCAGTTGACACTCTCACATCTAACAGCCCCCTTCTTCATATCTACTTGCCAGGTGGGGGCAGCAAAAGGTTCATGGTATTTAGGGTCAAGCTGAAAGTCAGTGCTCCAACTCTGGGGTATAGGAGTAGGCGAAAGTCTAATTGGAGCTTTGGACCCCTCTGTTTCCTTTTTCTTGTATTTTCTTTTCTACACTTTTAACACTAGGTGTTTTACTTAATTTGATCAGGGGTACATATATGTCTTCTAGGATGCATACAATACTTCCATTCCGATCTAAACCATGGATTAGTGCCCTAAGGTACATCTTACAATATGGTAGAAAATAAGAAAAATGTACACTGTAGCCAATGGGATTGCAATGTGGGAGGCAAAAGAGAACGTTTACTCTTAGCTTGAAGGCCATTCTTCATGATCAAATGTGTGTAAATACAGTATGTGTTAATTGTTTTGTATCCTTAGTGCCTTCAAAAGGTTTGCCTTTCCTGTAAAACAGTACTATTTCTTATTACAGGAACAAAAACACACATATGGGGAGACACACAAACACAAAATCTAAGGTCTTTCTTCTGACCCCATCATTCCCCGTTTCCCAGTAGAGCGTTGCAGATCTCAGCAAGCATGGATTCAAAGTGAGTGCAGCACGCCCAAGGTCAGCCTGTTAGCCTCTGGTAATTAAAAACAAGCCCTCTGGAGGCAGCAGAGGTTAAACGGGGAGGCTCACTTTTCTGCCTGCGACATTAAACTGAGTTTACACACTCTGCTGATGATGTTAGACATCTCAGAAGTATGATGCAATTAAGACGAGCAGCCTCTGTTTGTTTAATAAAATAATTGATACTATAGCTCAATATAAAATTTCATAAATTATGAGAAAAACGTTAATTTGCTCGACTTACTTCCACCTATGCTTTTTTCCTTCTACAAACACTGGAGCATATGTCAGAGCATATGTCTAGTAGTATAAAGAGAAAAATAAATATCTGTGGAAAAACAAATGTGCATCTTGTTTTTATTTGTCAAATTTATTGCTGATAGCAATGATGGCACATTGCACATTTACAACTAAAATAAAAATATAAACATAAAACAAACAAATTCCATTAAACCCATAACAATTCATAATACCAATTAAAGTCTGCTGTACTTTCTGTGAGGTGAACATTATCTGAGCTCTGCCACACTCTCTTAATCACACTCTTTGTGTGTGAGTGTGTCTGTTTGTCTGTCTGTCAATGTCTCATTCACCTCTGCCTGGCCTGGGCGCTGAGCACTAGGCTGGATATGAGGGCATTAACTGTGCTTCAGTGCACCACACCATTTAAAAGGCAGCACAGCGCCAGCCCCGTTTGCCACAAGGCTTGTACAGGCTCATTGCCCAGGGCGACTAGGCAGGCTGACCCAGGCTAGGCCCAGATGTCAGGAGTGGAGGAAGGCGTCCTGGTGCACTGTGCCGATGCTTTCCAGTATGGCCTAACATCTGTCTCATCTGCTGGCACCCAACCTGCTCTGCTCTAACCCCTCCTCTGGCCTATCTCTACCTTACATCTACAGTATGTATATTTAAGTCTTTCTCTATCAGTTTCTCTCTCTGGCACATACACACACACACACACACACACAAACAGTTGTGTGAGTGTGTGTGTGTGTGTGTGTGTGGGTTCTCCAGGCCCAGGGGCCCCAGAGCCAGCCCTCCCATTCAGTGCAGCTCACTGCATTATCCACTCTATCTGTCCATCTGTCCCTCTGTTCACCACTGCCTCTATCCAGCTGCTCACCTAGCTGTCCTATTAGCCAGCCTTCCACACACAGCTAGCATTGCTGCACTGCTCTGGGTTACCTTCAAAGACCAAGCTCCTCTGCTCATAAACACAGAAACAGCTGCTCGCTACAGTATGTCTGTTCTCTCTTTTCTCCCTTCCTCCTCTCTCTCTCTTTCTCTCTTTCAAAGTCAAAAGTGCTTCACTTGTTAATGAAGGAAGCCTTTTTCTTCACATCTGTACTACACAGGCATTTACATCCAAACAAAAGATAATGTGCGGTTGCTGTTCTCCCACTTTCTTCCTGTTTGTCTCTGACTGTGTAACACTCTTTCTTATCACTCCAGTCGTCTAAGCCTCTCTGAGTACTCCTCCAGAAGTGTGTGTCTGCTTGAGATCTGGTTCGGGTTTGTTGCTGAGCATGTGGGCTGCTTTTCATCTTTACAGTAGGAGCATGAGCTGAGGCTGGGCCCAGGTTTATCATGGGCCTAGAAAGATGCCATAGAAAATGCGACGTGAAAGTTAATTACAGCGTTAAGTCTTAACTCAAGTGGCTCGACTTCCAGTACTGTAAAGGAGTAGGATGTGATGGACCTGGACAATTCAGGGAGGAAAGAGCAAGAGTAACACAGAGACAGAATGTGGGGAAAAAAGAGGATGGGAGTAATTTAAAGAGAAATATACAAACTAAGACATTTAGAGATGGTTCAAGATGTGGATGGGAAATTGGAAAAGCAAGACAGTGAGACAGAGACAGCAAGAGATAGAAAATGGAGCCTTGACTGAGTGAAAGCAGAGGGTTTCTATTTGTTTAGTCCTAACAGTGATACTGCATACAGAGAACCCAGATGTTCTGTTTGATCCAATAATGCTTTCTTTAAAATGCCTTAAACCCTAAAGTCTGCTTCCAATGATAGGAAACAGGACTTTCTCAAAGGTCCTCCTCCTGTTTAGTGCTTCTGTAAAAAGGAGGGGTAGGATATATTAAGTTCATATTGGCCTTAAGTAAATTGTTTTTTACTTGGCAACTGATGCAAGGTATAGTGTACAAACAGCAAATTAAGTGCTATCCCAAATAGAAAATTCTTTTGTGGAATTAGGGAAATTCCCTTCCTGTCGCTTCACTCAATTGAATATAGTAGGTGTCTGGACAGATTCGGGTACAATCTGAGCACAATTTCCTCTGTTCGGTGAGAGGTGTCAGTTGTAATCAGGGAAGGACAGGCAGGGATGGAGCCATTGTTTCCTGCTGGTCCTGGGCTCATCCCGGCCCTGTGTGGGCACTAATGAAGAGGGGCATGTCGCGCTGGGATAGTTTACCCGCCTCCTCTCCTGTGAGTTGAGGACGAGAGCCAATCTGTCAGGAAAACATTGAGTGAAATTGCCCTGTGGTACAGCAATGCCTGGTGACAGCCACTTGCAGACTGCCAGCCACCAGTGTGATGCTACCACCCTGTATTGACAAGCAAATTACAGTCTCCAACACTCAAACGCATCCTGGAAGATTCATTTACATCCATCAGCTCTAAGCCTTTGTTACCTTGTTGGGTTTTCTTCTCTTAGAGAGAAAGGGTGGGAAATGGGGGGGTGGGGATCTCAGACTGTTATGACAGAGGAGATTGTGAAGAGGCTGCGTGGCCAACATTAAGACTGACGGAGCGGCTTGCCTCTCTGACTGGATGGCTGATCACATTACCTCTGCAGCATTGTGGGAATTAATTCTTCCAATAAGATAATTTTTAAGGTTCATATATTGCACAATCTACACTGAGTAAATTGGTGAAAATTATACCTTGCCATGCAGCTGACAGGAAGAGATTTTTTAATTGGGTGGCAGCCTATTCAGCCATATGTGTGTGGGATTTTTATTTGTGGGTGTGTGTGAGGAAGATGAAGAATGAGCTTGGAGGTGAAACTAGAAAAGCTCAGGACAGTTTAAAGGGTTAGTGGAGTATTGTGCTTGATGATGCATGAAGAATAAACCCAATAATAACGAAAGTAATAAGTAATATTTGCTGGGGAGCCGTAAAACAGCTTATTTTATTTTATTTTAATTATAAATTGCATCATTATAACTCTGGACATAATGTGTTGAGTTCAAAGTAGCTGTCGCATTTGTACTGTGCTGGTGCTATTATTGCTCTAAAAGGGAGGTGACTACTCCAACTTAATTCCATGTCTGGCTTGATATGATGTTTTTAATCATAGCAGGCTCCCAGTGCTTTGTAGAGGAAGTGGTGGCAGTCACATGGTTTGTTGATCCCAGCTATGTAGAAAAGGGCATGTTTGACTTGCCTTGCTTTTTTAAGGGGAGTCTCTATGCAGGGTAAATAGCAGCCAGCAGGCGGAATATGTGACAGGCTGACAGACTTCAATTAATGGAAAATGCACCTCTTTTTGTTTACTGTGTTCTGTAAAGGTCAGCCAAGTCATGGTCTTGGAGGCACTGTTTTTGCCCATTCCCAGGGTTAGATACATAATCAGAATTAATCACTCTAGACTCGTCTCCCCTACTCACCCCAACCTTCAGATATATGACTGTCTCATCTGACCTCATACACTGCTATAAAAAGACTCAGCATGCCTGTCTGAACTACCACTCCTTTCCAATGGACTTCTCCATGATACCCAAACTAAGCAAGACATATGCACCCTCAGAAATATACTCACTTACGCAGTCTCCATCTTTTCCTCTCACTAACACACGTCTTCAAACACGAGTGGACTCATTTAACACCTTTCATGCTTCTGATGGCTCTTCTCATGGTCGTATAATGACGCACAGCTCTTTGGAGCCAGCTGCATGCATTGTTGGAACTTGCCAAGGCTCGTTAACACTGACAGTGGTAGCCTCAGAAGGACAAATGCCACATATATCAGGGTCCCCCCCAAGTCTTGAGCTCTCTTATTTAATCTTGGCATACTGCTTTCTGCTGTGGAGCATCACATGTTGCAGCTTTCAATAACTTTTCACTGCTGTTGAGCACGCAGTGGTGGCCACTTAACCATATGTTAGTGAAGATGCTTTTTAATCCTTTGTTTCCTTCTTTTGTTTCCAAAGAACAGTACTGATTTCTAGTTTCAAATAGACTTAAGATCTACAATTACTCTGAAATGCAAAGGAAACTGATATTTAGAAAAGCAATGGGCAGCACTGTAGCTGCTTCCACTGTGTTTTTTTTTTTTTATGTAAAGAAAAGTCAGTAGAAAGTCAGCAAGGGAATCATTATCACCAATTTGGAAACAAAGATCATACACAGGCTGAGAAAAGCCCTGGTAACAGTAGTATTCATAATCATAACAGCTTGAAGGATAGAACAGATAATTATCTATATTAAACATTATGGCCTCAGGTTAAGCCCTGACCTGGGTTCAGCTTTTTAAATGATGTGTGAGAAAAGTCCTGGAGGAGCCTGTAGGGCTTGGAGTCTATCCCAGCATTTTCTGTGGCTCTAAACCCCTACTCAGCCTCACTTTGTATAACATACCATGAGTTTGGTTTTACTACACACATATATAGCCCATTTTCTGCTCTTATTTTATTTCCTCACAGAGATAAAAATAAATATTACAATGGTACTACTAGATAAAAGCAATAGGAAGGAGATTCTTTGCTTACACAGTCAATTGTCTTCTGATAAATTCACTGGCAGGTGATTAAGGCAACCAAAGTGACTCTCATTCCCTCTAATAACTATTATCTTCCTAACTCCTCTGTCTGGCAGAGCTAGTGGGGATAAATCCTCTATGAAACAGGATAAATTACATATGTAAGGTGATAAGCGTGTGTGAGCTGGGGGCCTCCAGGATTATTTAGTGTGCAGCTCATTACTTAGCGTACAGCTGCTTAGCCATCTTTTCTGCCCTGGGCTTGGCGGGCGTCCCTAGCATTCCTTGTCATAGTACTGTACATACCTGAAGCTGGAGGGGGCTGAGTCCTGACGCTGCTGCAGCTGCCATTGTGGATGGAATGAACTGCACCGGGTAGTTATCACCTGTCAGAGAGGGAGAGAGAGAGACAACAATGCATACAGGTTCAGACAATGAGCCGGCCCACAGCGACCAGGCAAGTGCCAACACAGATCCTGGGCCCTCCACTACTTTGCCACAGCAATGTGGCACATTGCAACGAGCCCTCGGCTTCAAGCCCAAACATCTGCATTAACAAAAGGCTAAGCTGGTTTGACTGGAGCAGGATTACTTAGGAACGTTTCACACCATTCCCTCCTTCCTCCACCTGCACAGTACTCCTCCTGGAAAATACCATGACAACAATAACCACGACATAGTTTAACAAGTTAGGAGTTCTTTTAAGGTTTATGTGTGTTTGTGTGCGTGTGTGCGTGTGTTCTGAATAAACGTTGAATATCTCCGCTGCTATTCAGTTAGCGATTATGTAAAAGCACCAGCATGTTCTCTCAGGCAGTTCATACAGCTGTAGACTTGTCTGGCTATTGTTCAACACTACATTGTTTGTTTCTGAGTGATAGCTTTGGCAGCAGAGGGAAAGCACTTGTAGGCGAACTGGTTAGAACAAGTGTGCAGTCACAATAACAAGGTTAAAAACCCCACACATTCTCATCTCACATATCATTGTGATCAAGCAAGGAAGAATTGGTCTCCAAATAGCAGCACTATTCATTACTGTTCACTACTGTTGGCCTGCCATCAGCACGTTTGTCAGACAGGGATATTAAACGGCTGCTGTATGAGTGATATCCATGGGGGTGTATAGTACCAGACGCTTTCATACACACACTCAACCTAGTGTGTTTAGACGGACAGAACAGCCCCAGTGAGACAGGGCAGCCCAGCGTTCGTAGAGGTTGGTTTGAAGCATGTGTCTGGATGAGGGGAGGTGGGCTACACAGTGGGAGCGGGGAGGGGTAGTTGGCCTTCGCTCAGACCCCACTTCTGCCTGTCACTTCTTCTCACAAACATATGGAGCCATTAAGCCACAGACAAGGTAAATGTATATACCTTCTCTTTCACTTTGCTTTCGCCCGCTCGCCTCACTTTGCAATCTTGTACAGCACAGCACAATGTGATACAGGCCATGGAAATTCAATCCCCATTTAGTAGCAAATAAAATCACACAGCAGAAGTGGTTTCAAATAGTGCTGGGTTGGATGTGCGGGGGTGCACTGTGGTTATTTCTACACCTCTTTTTGGTATCGCTTTCTCTCTGTCTCGCTCTCTCTATGCTGTCTGTGACGTAGGATTTGGGAATAATAAATGGCTGGATGTCTTTAGATGTCATGTGAAACCTGGAGAGGGTCATGCGCTAAGTGAGCACACCACGGCCGCTGGGGGGTCTCGGGCTCCAAGGCCTGGGTCTTGGGTGCACGCACAGTCTATGTTAAGGCACCAGACTCCAGCAGAATGGGCACTGTGCCACGTTAGCGTCACTGGTGAAAGGGAATTACATTTAAAACTGTGGGTTTTTTTAACGGGCTATGGCTGGTCCCATGCCCAGAACCTGGACTCTGAATTCTAAGGGGGAGGGGAGTAGTGCAGGTGACGCCATGGTCACAACAGTCTATATTTCCCCGCTCATGTGGTGCCATGAAATACAAGTCATAGATCTGCTGAGAGCTGACAGATGCAGCTGAGACCTTTCTTAGACCAGATCAAATGATGATGAATAACCTATATGACTGCAACCCTCAAAACTTTTCACTGGCTTTTACATTTTATTGAATTACAGAAGCTGCTCACATAAACGAGGCACTTCTTTTTACATTGTTGGCATTCTGAAGTAGATCTGATGAGGCCATAGGGTAAGACAAAAATGACAAACCAAAGTAAATTTGATTTATTTGAGTTAAAAATGTGTTGAAACTGTCAACTGCCAGCAGGATGTCTATAAGGAAGACTGGCAGAGGAGCCCAAAGACTGTGGGGTCATTCTGCAGGTCCATTAGAGGCACATCAGACTGAAGGGAAATCAGGGAAGTCCAACTTGTATCTATTTGTTTAAAAGAGGAGTTGGTGTTTCTATGACTGTGCTTGTCTACCATGCAACACCAGGCCATTGAGCACAGCTAGTGGATGGGGTGATGACTTACCACCATGGTGCCAGAATGACTCTGTTGCCATGTGAGCACCACAGGGCTGGGGGTCATAAGCAGTGGTCCCTGGGAGCTGTCTCATAATGATAACATCAGATTAGTGTGCCTTAGTCTTGGAAGTGAATGCTTGGCCACTCACTTCATGGAGAAAGGACACAGTGCCATCCTGTATACCCTGCAGGTGGTGGTGATAACATTGTACTCTCTGGATATATTGTGTATATTGTGTTGGATGGGTGGAAATAATAGAGGTTTTGAAATACCTCTCCTGACTACAGGAGTCATTTTCAGAACCCCTTTGCTATTTCTCCATGAACTCATGAATTATGCAAGAACCATACACATGGCGACCCCTGACCATGATTCCATAATAGCTCCTGTTATTTGAACTAAAACATTTTCCGTGTCAAACCTATTGCAGGAAGCACACTGGTAAAAGTCTCCCCCTCAGGCACTTTGTTTAAGCTGTCATGGCTCCATAGTTCCAAAATAGCTGACTTTCTTTTTCATCCTGTGGTTTTATAGTTAATTCATTAACTGCACTACCACACCTTTTAATGTTCTGCTGCAAACCTGCTGACTTCCTAGTGTTTCTTTTTCCGTTTTCAGTCCTCTACCTTGCTCTGGTGGTATTTTACAATAGACAAGAGGACTTTCCTTTTACAAGCTGACTCATAAATCTTTTCCTCTTTGACGCCTTCTATTTGCATGTGCAGAAGCAAAAATAGGAAAACATTTTTTTTAAATGTACAATTTCAGTTTAATTTGATTGAATAAGTAATAGACACGTCTAAATATTGCTTGGCCATGGGACCAAGTAGGCGATGTGAGGTGAAAAGCTTAGACTGAGAAGCAGGGTGCAATTTAGGCCATGGATGTTTTGACAGTAGTATGTGGTGGCACATCTTTAATTTTCACAAGGATACAAGGGTGTTTGAGGTTACTGCTTTGGCAGGGCATCAGTAAACATGTTGCAACAATTTTTCAAAAAAACATTTTTTTATTTTGAAGGCTGTGGAAGGCTTCTCTTTAACTCAATTCAAAAGACAAAGGGAGAGAAAGAGGCATGCCGTTACAGGCATTGAAAAAATGAATGAGTTATACGTGCGGGAAAACCTGTTCCTTACATCAGCCATAAACTATTCACCTTTTAATTGTCTTTTAATTACTTAATTTATCTATCATAATTGTGTTAAACTGTAATAGGAGACTTGCTTTTTAGGCATATAACAATAGGAAGACTTTTCATGCAAGGTTCATCTCCTGTGTTATTGGATCTCTATCAGTGCATACTTGAAGACAATGGCAGCCAACAGACTCCTTAAAGCTACTCTCATGTTGAAGACATGTTTACATTCCTCTGCTTCTCTACCCATATCTATTGTTCCACATCGACTAGAACATTCCCAGGCCTTGGTTTCGAGTCCAAGTTCAGACAGAGCAGAGCATGCCAGTGGCCTCAAGTGTGATTCAAGCATTTGTTTGTTGCCATACATTTGTTATGCAACTTTTACAGTAATAATATAATTTGATTTACAGTGTAAGCGAAATGACATAGCAAGCAAAGAGAAAGGGGGAAGGATAAAATTAAGACTTAAGTTGCAAGCATACCTGGCTTATAAGACATTCCTGGAGGGAAGAGAAAGCCTTGCTGGGCGGCGGCTGCTGCTGCCAGAGTGCGTTGGTCGTGTGGAAAAATGGGGATCATGAGCGGAGGCATGTGACCCTGGACCTGCTGAACAGATAGGGAGCGGAGATCAGAGAGAGGCCTAAGCATAGTCATGGTACACAGAAACACAGAGCCCACTCAGGGGGGAGGCCAGATCACAGCTCTTGCTAACACGCGCTGACAGGGGGCTCTGCGGCAATGACGGCCCTCGTGTGCTCACACAATACCTGGCCAAGCTACCCCTGCTCTTAATCCAAACTATAATTTCACCTCCGGTACATCAAAGGCCCCGTGTACGCACATTGTTCCAGCATCAGTTAGAGAAAGCGACATGCAGGACAGAGAACAGAGAAGCTCAGTAGATCCGTACGGCTTCTGAAGAAAAGTTCTATACGTGTGGAAATAAGCACTCACCAACACCCTTGCTGTTGCAGTAGATGTTATCAGGATTACTGAATGTATTGCACAGGTGCAGATCAGCATGTACTGTACATGCATACACACAAACTCACTCAAGGAAAGATCAACTAACATAATCTTAGATGGTCATTCTTTAGATGATAAAAGAAAATCAAAACAATCAATAACAAAAACAATCATTTGTGTTCTGTTTTCAGCAGTGGAAAAACAGCAGGCAGTTGAAAAACTACTTGCTCTATTTGTCATTCTCTGATTGTCTGTTTCACTCACATATTAACCTTCATCATCCAGTCTGTTGCTGACTTGCCTACTGGGAATATCAACACAAACTCCCTGCATGTGTGTGTCAAGGGTGGGTGACTAGCTTATGTCTCAAAAGTGTTGTGTGGGGGTTTTGCACACATGTTGCAAGGTCCAATCTTACTGTCATTCTCTGCTTCCTGAAACTCTATGATGGGGAGCAGCCCGACTACCATGGGCCTGCGAGGGTTAATCTAGCACTGAGCCAGGCCACCTCAGGGGAACCTGCCTGGAAAATGGGTTAATAAAGGTCATCCCCCAAAATAAACACTTTACAGAATGTTTCTCCATTCATCCCTCCTTAAAATCAACTCGCAATAAAACGGGTCTGGGTGCAATTACTGCCGCTGCATTGGGGCATGAAATCAACCTGCTCTGAGCAATGACTTTCCCCCCATGTTCTGGCTGAGGTCTGCTATGATCTCCACTTCTCAGCCCATGCTGCTCCCCCTGTAGACCCTTTACCGGAGTAGTCGCACCCAGTTTCTCTCACAGCTAACACGCTAAACCTACTTAAAACTACTTTATTGATCTGTCCAGAGGTGCAGAGCTAGACTGAAAACTAAATAAATAGAACCATTTTATGTCTACTGAGCTTTTACAGAAGTGCAAGGGCAGAAAGTGCATTATAGAAGAATAGAAAAGTATGTAATTCTTCCAAAAAGTAATTCTGCAAAATGTGCTGTTGCTGAAGAAAAATAAATGGCCAAGGAGACTGCGACAAATGACCTTAAATAAAACATTTCTTTATAGGGATTTGTGTTCCAAGTTTCCAGGCTGAATGGATGAAAGATGGATCTTGGCCTTGCATGTATGGAACATATGGAAAAACACAATAATTAATGTCACAACATGAGGTAGGGCCAGTGACAGGCGGGGGGGAGACACTGGGGAACACAGCTTTTCTCTGTCTGTGTATTTGGACTATAAAACCAGATGGAGTCTGTTGCTGAATGTGCGGTAGTCACAGGGCAGAAAAGGGCTCCCTCAAGTCCACATCCCTCCAAGTGTGTTACAAGTGTGTTGCATGGGAGTTCATACATTTTCATGAATTAACTAACATGCATCAGCAGTAAATTAAAAGTTATGTCTTTTTTTTTTTTTTTTTTTGGTAAAGTTAATGACTGTCAAATATTATAGCTAAATTGATACAACAAAAGAATGTCTCACTACATTTCCAGAGGTGATGATGTTTTACTTTTAAATCGGTTTTTCAAAGTGAACAAATCATTCACAGCTCTCTGTCTCTATTTTGTCTTGGTCGGAAATTCACATAACACACTCACCTAAGTCAAAACATCTGTGCAAGACTGCTGTATATGCAAGCTTAAAGCGTACTGGTCTAATGTAAAGGATGTTCATAAACACATTTATGATCATTCTTTTCAAATCATACCAACAAAACACAACCAGGAGAACAGCTACTTCGCACAAGGTAAAATGCTACACAATGAAAACAGCATTTAAATATTTTCTATCTTTTACACTATTCCATAATTTATTTGCTTTTATTATTTATTTGAAAATACAAATGTGACAACATAAATTAATATATATGAGTTATATGAGATACGTATACTGATTATATATAGTATATAAATACTGAGAGACATCAGCAAATGGCATTAGATACTTGGACGTACTTTTCTCCAGCACTAAATGTAAATGATACCATTTCATCTGGGATATCAGCTTTTATTACTATTATTATTTTAAAATATGGAGCAGAATATACAAGATTCACTGAGGCAAGACAGGGTGCGAATGTGCGTTGAAGGGGAAATAAATGCATTGAGTTTGAATGGCTGTGATTTGCAGTAATGAGCTCCACGCATTAAAGTTTAATTTACGGCAACTAATGTCAAAGAAAGGCAAATCAAATTTTTAGGAGCTTCAAGGTGGCAACAAATAGTGGAGGTTAGTTGAGCTGTCAATTAACAGCTGCCACAGTGGCTGAGCATATTATAACATTTTAACAAGTGATTTTTTTTATTTCACTGTTAAATTAAAGTAGAAGAAAAAAATAACTATATTTTAAAAAACATAGAGAAAGAAATTGTGTACACATGTGTGGCTTCCACTCTCCCTCTGAAGCTACACCCCCCCCTTTAAGAGTTACCCTCAAGTTCATCTATGTATGGGCTGAGTGCCCAGGATATTTCTATTGCCAAGATGATCTTGAAGAGTTGGAGAATGAAGTGGAGCAGATGTGAGCGGGGCACTTGGGCAGCGTCCTCCCTTCTCCTCGTAAATACAGCGGCATTGTTGTGCTGGCACTGCTCTTCTTTTGTCTTAGCACTGCTAAGTACTGGATAATGTCATTTCACACCATCTGCCCCCAGGCTTCATTAAAGATACATGAATGGGCTATCTTATGAGGAACAGGTGCTATTGTTTGTCCCTCAAGACCCAGCACTAAGGATCTGACTCGGAATACTTGAAGAGGAGCATCTGTAGTGATCAGTCAGACAGACTTGGCTGAGGCCCCCGTCTCTGCCAGCAAGCACTCCAACAGAGGTTTCTGGGGGAACTCAGCCGCCTTGCAACATGTATCATCAATTCAGATGACCTGATGAAGTCTGTATCAGGCCAGCACGCAATCTGTTTCCCTCTCAAGGAGACGCTGCTATTTGATAAATAGAACCGGCTTGCAGTTCTACTGTGAGTAGGATATTATATGGATACCATATTATGGAAGAGCTAATTAGGTTTTATTCTTTGCTTTTTTTAAGGAGGAAAAATTACAGAACAATGTATTTATTTATTTATTTATTATTTTTCCAATATTTAGTTCAGTCACAACAGTTGACAACTTTATTTTTGCCAAACTCTCTTTTAGTTTTGCATCAGTGTTTTATTTAGAGAAGCTATATTCATTATTTTATAAATGATCCTTCATTTCAGCAAATAAAACTTAAACAGTCTAAACTAACCAAGTTTAACAATAAAGCACTTACAGTAGCCCAACTGACTGTACAGTGGTTTTCAACTGCAGTCCATCCTGGGGTCAGACTGCAGAGGACGAGTCAGACGGCTCAGACAGACTCTCAGCTCTGATGTGTAAATACACAAGGTGTAAAAGACGGGGTAGACTTGAAAGAGCTCCCTTTATTTCTCCTAGCACTTACAACACATGCAATATGCACACACACACACACACACACACACACACACACACACACACACATACTCATACACGCTCTCAAATTCAGTTTTAATACTGCATTAACCCATGAATGATGTACTTTTGCTACTACATTTATCTTTTATTATTCCTATAAAGCTTACTTGTGGTGAAATACAGATAGCACTTAACATATTTTAGATTAAAGATGCAGTTTTATAGTTATTTATTAACAAGCTGTGTGATTAAGAAAAACTTCATACAGACAAAAAATATTTTCTACAGACCTGCATTAAGCTCCTTTATCTATACATTATTCGTTCTAATGAAAAGCACGAGTGGTTTTGTTTTTATTGACGTGTAAGCATTCACCTACAACAGACATGCAAGCAGCTCCAAAACACTGAGCGCAAATGGAGATGTACAGCGCATTACAGCACTCACTTGGGCCCCTGTCAACACCCATGTTCTTCACTGTCTGTTATAGCCTCTACAAAGCACCCAGGAGGCCTAAAAACCCCTGCCGGCTTTCCTTCTGAACCCCCTCACACTGATCCACACGCACAAGTTTGCTACTCGCTATGGAGCACAATGCGCTATGTGAAGGAAATCGGTAGAGTTTCTGTTTTTTACTGCCAGAATCAGTCAGTATTACCAAGATTAAAAGACAAAAGGGGCAAAACCAGACAAACATCTACCTCATTCTCACAGTGTTTCATGGTTATTAGCTTGAAAGGACCTGTGAGATTCTGGGTCTAATATCCTGATTAATTGCTACTTGACACCTTTTAACACACCTCTCACTCATATGTTTATCTTGTATATAATTCTGCATTCATTTGTCTTGTAAGAGTAGAACCCCTTCACATGTTTTTTTAAAATACTGACAACAGGTCGACCGCAAGTAGCCTAAAAATTCCAAGAAGCTCAAGGTGATGATGTTCTTAATTCTGTAAAATCATTTAGATTATAATAGGCGCTTTTCCCATTAGCAAAAGATCACAATCACCAGTAATCATTTTGAGGAGGGCTCACGTTTCACTGACATCTCATTTACTTCCACACTTTAGTAGCTGTCAGATCCGCAGCTCTCACTAACCTTCTCTTTCACATTTTCTATAGGAGGGGTTCTGTAATTTCACTCATGGAGGATAGACTCCAGCTGTTGCTGTAAGACCTGATAGTTCACACTTCATTCCCCCCCTGCTCTCCACTGAGCTAC